ATTATGAGTAGATGGGGTTCGATGAATACCTTTCATTTCGCATGAAAGTGCATGATGAAGAGATTCGTAAGTCGATCTCATCAGAAGACGATGGCTGATTTCCATTGTACTTCAATTGCTTGGCTTGAATAGAAAGTTCAGGGTGACGCGGTCCACGATAAATCAATCCTTGTTTCGAGTGAAACCGGGATGAGCCTTGATGGGCATTATCAGAGCTGAAATTCATTCTTGCAAAAGTTTCATGTTAACGCTATGTCAAGAAGATTCAGCATTATCATAAACGTTGCAAAATGAACCCGAATTCTGATGATATCCGTGATATGATGGACGAAAGCTCAGCTCGGTTTCACCTGAAGTGAGGCAGGATGTCTCATGGACTGCGTCAACGTAAACGTCACATCAAAGCCAAATAGCTGCAGAACAATGGAAATCGGTCTTCGAATAACAAATATCTTCATCATAAACTTTCGTACTAAATGAAAGCTTCCACAAGTAAACAGATTAATTTAAAAAAATCAGGATATAAAAAAATTAATTATAAATTGAGTCAGCCTAGCGATTTACGGACCGAGTTGAATTTTCGAAGAATGGAATGAAAAGGCCTCACGATGTCATTGCAATCCAAAAGATTATTCTTACCCAAGATTGACTACAGTTCTGAATTTGCCAGGTCGTGTACATAAAGTAGCGACACGTTATGCTCACTACTCGGTTTTAGACTACCAGTGGGAATGCCGATGGAACCTGGGAAGAAGTCAAAACTGCAGCTCACCTTGGATGAAAAAAGCCTTAAGAGTTGGAACTATAATTAATGCATGTAGTCGTGTATGTATCAAATGTGCTGAATATTTTATTCTAGCGGGTTAGCCGTTATGTACAGTTAATAAATGGAAGATTATGACAAGTGAATACAGATGGACATAGGGCTTAGTCTAGGCCTGGCCTAGGGTAGAAAGTGCAAGTCCGCTGACGGTCTGCATGCGCACCATCGCCTTGACTTGGTGGCAACCGACGGCGCGGAGAGAGCCTGTTCCTGATCAGCTCTTGAGTCCCAAGCGCAGCAGGGCTTGCAAGGGATGAGCAGGTAGCTGCCTGAATTTCTCCAATCCTACCTGAGAACCCGTCGCACATTCTTTTACTGTTGTCACCTCCGTCATTCAAACGACAGCTACTGGCGTAACCGCGAAGGAATGGATGACGTAAAGCTTCTATGGCTGATATCCGTAGACCCGGATCTGGCTCAAGCAGCCGCGTGAGCAAGTCATATGCCGAACTAGGGAAGACATGAGTCGACAACAGGGTAATCTTGTTGGGTGAGTCCACACTTGTAATGTTATGGGCAACAGCATTAACCCCATTGTCACCTGTTTTGATCTCAGTAGTTGGCGAGCAAACCGGCTTGGCAGAACAGGGCGGTGGGCAGCCTATAAGTCGCTTCTCTTGGCGTCGGATTTGAATGCAGCTGAGCAAGTAGAAGTAGAATTCATATGTAAACGGGGCTGAAACTTTGACACGCTTCCAGGCTAGGTGCTCTGGAATGGATATTGTCTTAAAAAGTGAAGAGCCGTTTTGATAAAAGGTTAGGTAAGGCAGTTATGAAATCGAATAGCAACAGCGAAATCTGTAATGTTTGCAAGCAGATATACGCCTCCTTGCTTCCAAAAACGACGATGAGAAAAAAAAACTGTGTAAAGAAAAGATGTCTTAGAGACAAAATGTACAAAATTACGCATGGTTTATTACGTTGACTAGATTGATTTCAAATAGACAGCAATATAATATAAATTAGATTACTAAAATGGAAATTGTACAAAGATCTGCAATGCATCATCATAATATATTGATATTATCTGACCTCGTTTTTGCAACTTGGTCGTGTTGTCAGAACGACTAGGTTGGACGAACATCGTCCAAAGTCCACTACTATAGTAGTTATGATAATTCCAAGCGTATAGGTGTGCCCTTTTATGGTGTGTCTAGTGATAATTTATCATACCTGGTTA